CCTATTAAGATGGCATTGCTTCACTGCCACCTCACATACTCCAAATATATCTTGGGAGAGATATACTGCTACATGCATCTGCACACTGCAAAGGAAGACCACGAAAGGTGGTCGGTTTGGTGTAGTGCTTAGGAGCATGGACTCTGATCTGGGAGAACCAGGTTTGGTTCCCCACTCCTCCACTTGCAACTGCTGGTGTGACCTTGAGTCAGTCACAAGTTCTCTCAGCTGTTCTCTCAAGAGCAGTCCTCGAAAGAGCTCTCTCAGCCCCACCTACCTCACAGGGTGTCTGTTGTGGGGAGAGGAAGGGAAGGAGATTGTAAGCTGCTCTGAGACTCCAAATGAAGGGCACGGTATAAATCCAGTTTCCTCCTCCTCTTCTGTCTGTTGCTATTGGTCTCCTCCATACTCTGCTATCCAACAAATGAGAGCATCAAAGGCAAAAAGTGTGGAAACCGAACATTGGCGCTCCCTTTGTGATAGGTGGAAGAATAGAGCAGGTAGCAAAGATGCGTTCAATCTAGCCAGCAAACTTTTCTCTCTGAGGCATCTTTTGAGTTCCTTGCATTAACTCGCACATTTTAAAGTAGATTCTGTGATGTTAAAAACAGCCTCTGTTGAGCTGAGGAAGATTTCAGTGCTGAGGAAGATTTCGGCAGCGGGAGATCCAGATGGGTTTCCCCCACTTTACTAGCTGTTTTGCCATTTAATGACTAGATATTGCTTTTCCAGACGTGTCTTTCTCTCCATGTTTTAACCGCTTTTACTCAAATGGGCAAAATACTTTTTATTTTCCCCCTCTCTTTTTCTTTTCCTTGCAAACGGGTTGGACATGCATGCACTGTGTGAATGAAACCGAGGGATGCGTTATCATCTTTTAGCGAGCCATCATAGATAGACAGAACAGCTAACGCTTTAATGGGGGGGGGGGACAGTTTTCATTGGTGTGGTTGGAAATTATGTGCACATGTCTTTTTGGAGGATATTTTGATTCTGTTGTATTTACAGCTTTTAAAAAAAATGAGAGAGAGCCTAAGAATGATTGGAGAGGAGCCATGCCTCGGTTGCAGAATATTTGCCTTGCCAGTTTTGTTCCCCAGAAAAGTTAGATGGATCAGGTTCAGGTGATGTGAATAATCTCAGCCTCAGACCCTAGAGAACCAACTGCCCATCAGAATAGACCCTATTCAGTATAAGGCAACTTTTTGCATGTATATGTGTTGACTGGTATATCTTTATTATTTCTACAACTGAGGTGTAACGTGGCTAGATTTTGGAGAGTGGTGATTGGATTTTACCAGAAGGAACAGTTCTCTGCAGGGGTCATTTCGTAGACAAAGAGGAGGAGGAGCTCATTAGCATAACTCATTAGCATACCATTTGCATATGCCACACCCCCTGACATCACTGGAAGTGTGTCAGAAGGCAACACCCACCGCTCAGGCTCCACTGGACTGTTTTGGATTCTTGGCTATTGGGGGGGGGGGCACAGAGGATCTGTCCTAGAGGAGGGAGAGCTTGTACCTGAATAAAACTTGGTCTTAAAGGTGCCACTGGACTGTTTTGGGCCAGGGGGTGGGGGTGGGGACTCTGCAACTTACCTAGCTGCTTTTTGCTCTGACTGAGAGCTGCTGGGAGCAGGGGGTGGGGCTTGTTGCATGTGCCTGCCCCCTGGGCTCTTTACTGCCGGAGCTCCGCTCCTGTGCGCTCCTGCAGGAAATGACCCCTGGTTCTCTCTGTATGTGTGTGGGGCAGGATTTGGAGTGCATCACTGTGGGAGGGTTTTTTGGCCATCCCCCATCCCATTTTTAAGTCAAAATTGTCCCCTTCCACCTTGAGGCACTTGTTGACCAGATAAACAGACACACGCACCCCTCACTCATGCTATGAATGTAAAGGTTTGGGAGATGCAGCTGCAGATTTCAAATGTTGCCCTCAGTCCTAAGCATCTGTCTTGGGGACTGGGGTAGCATGCAGATTTACTTAAATTTAACCAGGTTTGAGGCCAGTGGCTCCTTTAGGACCAACAAAGTTTGATTCTGGGTATAAGCTTTCATGACCCAGGGGTCATTTCCTGCAGGAGCGCACAGGAGCGGAGCTCCGGCAGTAAAGAGCCCAGGGGGCAGGCACATGCAACAAGCCCCACCCCCTGCTCCCAGCAGCTCTATCAGATGCACATTTGCATGCACAAGAAAACTTATACCCAGAATCAAACTTTGTTGGTCTTAAAGGCGCCACTGGCCTCCAACTTGGTTCTGTTGCTTCAGACCATCATGGCTACTCACTTAAATTTAGGGCTGCCAAATCCCCCCGGGGTGTGGATTTCCCCCCGCTTTGGAGGCCCGATTTCTGCCCCCATGGAATCGGGCCCCGGGGGAAACCCCACCCCCGCGTGCACGTCACTTCCCTGTGACGTCATGACGCCGGGCATGCGCGCACACCGGGAGCGAACCCAAAGTCCTGCGCCAGCAGGTAAGTCCGGACTTGGCAACCCTACTTAAATTTAACCAGTTAATTATTGATTAAAAGCCAAATGATCACTCACTTGATTATTATGTAATTTGGTGGGCAAACTATTTTACAGTTCTTAATTTGCTTGGGAGCTGTTCTCTGAAAACACATTGCCCGTATTTAGTAGCCAGGATTTGTGTGGACAGATGTTTTTTTGATGGATGCACCTGGCATTCTTTGTTGTGCAGGAAGCTCTCTCTCTCTCGCTCTCTCTCTTACATTCCTCTTGCTTCTGGAGCAAACAATTTAATGTCCTGCCAAAGGGATATTTTGAAAATTAGGGTTTTTTTTTTAAAGTGGCAGTGAAGCTAAAACAATCTTATTTAACTGCTTTCAAAAGCCTGGTGAAACTGGAAAGCAGATTTCTTATGCAGTATTTCAGTACTTCTCTGCACCTACGTATTCTTTGGGCCACTGTAGAAGAGGCCCTGCATCTGCTTCAGCTGTTCACACAACTTTTATGGGAAAATGCCCATTCTAAAACTTGATGGGACTGGGGGAGCATCGCTCTGAGAAGTATTGTTTTATTTGCGATATTGATGTACCACTTTTCAAGGGAATGATATCAAGGGAATTTACATTAAATAGCTATGAGCATGAAATCATCAAGCATAAAGTGCTGGTGCTTACAGGCCCTAAACAGCTTGGGAATAGGGTACTTGATGGACCACAGTTCACCAGTTAAGATCCTCATTTCAAACTTGTACCCTCGCCTGCAGAGGTGAGGTGGTTGGCAAGTAGAGACAGGGCGTTTTCAGTGATGGCACCACACCTGTGGAACACCCTTCCTCTTGAGGTTCAACTGGTGCTGACCCTAACTCTCTTTTAGGCACCAGGCTAAAATATTCTTTTTTTAACCTAGGCATTTCTTTTTTACCCAGTTATGGGGCTTATCTTTTAAACTGTCATCTTTTAGCCCAAGGACTGTTTTGGGAGGCTCATTTTTCAGCTGTTTAAATGTTTTGTGCTATTTTTTTTAATGCTCCGTCTAGGTTTGTAATGGCTTGGGCTTTTCACAGTTTGTTTATAGCACTTTTTAGCCTTTTATCATGTTTTGTTTTGTATGCCACCTCAAGCAGGTTCTCTGGAGAGGCAGCCTGTAAAGTTTTGGAATGAATGAATGAATGGAGAATAGCAGATTTCTATTTGATCCAGATATAATGGCAGCTTCCTACTCTCTTTCTGGCCCCATTAATGACTGCTGGAAATTGGAGGTAGGAGGCTGTCATCCGAGAGCAGATCTGGACATGCTCAAAGCCTGCCTGTCACCTCTGCTCCTGGTGATCTCAGCATTTGTGCTCACCTGTGTACCATATAACTTCAGTCTTCTTCCATCTGCACTGGTTCCCAGTTTGGTCTCAGTAGTATTGCTCACCTATACACCAAAGTACTTCAGTCTTGTTCCATCTGCACTGGTTCCCAATTTGGTCTCAGCAGTAGTATGCTCACCTATACAGCAGTCTTCTTCCATCTGCACTGGTTCCCAATTTAGTCTCAGCAGTAGTGCTCACCTGTACACCAAAACACTTCAGTCTGGTTCCATCTGCCCTGGTTCCCATTTTACTTCTGTGCTCTGTTCAAGGTGCTGATATTGACCTTTAAAGCCCTATTTGGGTTGGGGCCAGCACACCTTAAGGACCCCCTACTCCCATATGAACCTACCCAACCTCTTTGGTCATCTTTGAAGGCCTTGCTTTGAGTGACCCTCACGTCTGAGGCTATCGATCTAACACTATCCATTCTGCCTGAAAAAAAACCCTTATGGAATTTAAATTAAAGATGCTTTCTGTCCTTTCTAAGAACTGGCTGGAAAGATCCACTCCCTTTTTGTCTTAAATAGGAGAAGGGGCTGGTGGAATCAAGTGGGCCTTATCCCGGAGTACCTCAATGCAGAGAACCTGATACAGAATAGTGGCAGACGCAGGGGTCATTTCCTGCAGGAGCGCACAGGAGCGGAGCTCCGGCAGTAAAGAGCCCAGAGGGCGGGCACGTGCAACAAGCCCCACCCCCTGCTCCCGTAAGTTACAGAGCCCCCCCCCATAGATAGCAATCCAAAACAGTCCAGTGGCAGCTTTATGACCAAGTTTTATTCGGGTACAAGCTCTCCCTCCTCTGTGAGGGCAGATCTGTGTTGGGAAACACCCCCCCCCCAATAGCTAGCAATCCAAAACAGTCCAGTGGAGTCTGAGCAGTGGGTGTTGTCTTCTGACACAGTTCCGGTGATGTCAGGGGTTGTAGCATATGCAAATAAGTTATGCTAATGAGTTATGCTAATAAGCTCCTGCACCTCTTCCTCTATGAAATGATCCCTGGGCAGACGTATGTTCCAGATTCGACCTTCTTAATTGAGGATTAACCCTATGATTTATGCTATGTTTTTCTAAGTTTTGGCCTGGATCTTGTACATTTGGTCAACGGCTATAGTTAAGCACAGACGTGTCTATTACTGAGCTGTGCATACAACATAATCTGTATGCTTTCTATTTCAGGACGGTGTATTATGTGGAAAATAAGCAAGTATACAGTATGCAGTACCAGACGGTGTACAAATGTTGTTCGGGATGGTCTCAACTTGGAGGAGATTCAGGCTGCCGTTACCGTAAGTGGCCTATTGAAGATGTTCGTAGCCTGTAATGAATTGGTGTGCATGATTACTTGTACGGGTGTTGAAAATCCAGGGTTTTTGTTGTTGTTGTTGTTGTTAGTTACTTTAAAAAGGTAAAGGTAAAGGTTCCCTTGCTCGAAAGCCAGTCGAATCCGACTCTAGGGTTGCGGTGCTCATCTCCGTTTCAAAGCCGAAGAGCCAGCGCTGTCCGAAGACGTTTCCGTGGTCATGTGGCCGGCATGACTAAACACCAAGGCGCACGGAACGCTGTTACCTTCCCACCGAAGTGGTACCTATTTATCTACTTGCAATTTCTTGCTTTCGAACTGCTAGTTACTTTAGCTGTGCATATAAACTCTGGTCTCAGAATCAGATCAGCCCCAGTGGTTTCTTCCAGTTGGCCCTGGTTTTCCTGTAAATATATGATTCTTTTTACTGGAAATGCTGAGGAATAAACCTGGGATCTTCTGCATGCAAAGCAGGTGCTCTCCCACCAAGTCACTCTCAAGCATGCTTGCTGAAATGTTCTGTTTTTTACATAAGACCAGAAGAAGAGCTCTGCTGGATCAGACCAGGGGTCCATCTAGTCCAGCATCCAATCTCATACACTGGCCAACCAGTTACTATGAAGGGCCAACAACAGAGGAATATAGGCCAGGGCCTTCCCCTGATGTTGCCTTCTGGCACTGGTTTTCAGAAGCTTACTACCTCTGAATGTGGAGGCTCCCTTTAGTCATTATGAGTATTAGCTGCTGATAGACCTATCTCCCTTATAAATAAAAGCCGAATGGTGGTGGCACTTCTGTAGAACATTCCACACGCTCCAAAAATCAGTTTGCTCTCTGATCTGTCATTCAGAGGATCTCCCTATCCACTGTCTGCTTCGCCTGAGTCCTGCCTCCAACATTCTAAACATTTTGCTGTTCCTCTCCTTCTCATAGCCAGTCAGAACACAGAGGTTATTTGCATATGCAGCCTCATTGGCCTTTGCCTCGGAACACAGAGGACGTTTGCATATGCGACTTGATTGGCTTTTGCCTCTAACATTCTAAACAGTTTTGCTGTTCTGAGGTAAAATGTGTCCAGTCTCCAGGTGAGGGCTGGAGATCACTCAGAATTACAGCTGTTCCGCAGGGCCTGCAAGACGGAGCTCTTCCACCAGGCCTTTCAATAGGAGCCGCCACCACTGTTACCACCAATGATCCTAGTGAATGCTTGGATCTTAGATCTGGCCCTGACATATTGCTAGGCCTTCCGGCGCGAGGATGATGAGCGGTGGAACAACGCAGAATGAGATCTGGAAGCACGCCATCTCATTTGTAGTACTGTATGCATTTTATTGTTAACAACTTATGTTTTAAATTATTTGTTTATGAGATTTTATAGAGTTTTTAAGCTTTATGTATGTCAATCAGGTACATTGTACTGTTTTGTTAGCCGTCCTGAGCCTGCTTGCGGGATGTTGTTGTTGTTGTTCAGTCGCACAGTCGAGTCCGATGGGCGGGGTATAAATATAATAAATAAATAAATAAATAACTGCTTTCCAGATGGCAGAGATCAGTTCCCCTGGAGAAAATGGTGGGCTCTGTATCCTTATATGCTGCTGAGGTGGCCCCCATATGACAGCCAATGTGACGTAGCAGTCAGAGCTTCAGAGCACGGGAGAGGCTGCAGGTGTGTGGGGGGTGGAAAGCTGAAGAGTGAGGGGGAAATAAAGGTAGGTTGATGATTGGCTGGGAAGGAGATAGGGTTGCCAACTCCAGGTGGGAAATTCCTGGAGATGTGAGGGATGGAGCCTGGAGAGGGTGAGGTTTCAGGAGGCGTGGGACCTCGGACAGGTACAAAGCCATAGACTCCATCCTACAAACCAACTATTCCCTTCTGGGGAACCACCGTTGCCAATCTCCAGGTGAGGACTGGAGATCACTCAAAATTACAACTGTTCTTCAGGTAGCAGAGATCAGTTCCTCCGGAGAAAATGGTGGACTCAGTGTCATGATACCCTGCTGAAGTCGTCACAGCAAATTGACACTGAGTGTCCCAGGTCGGGGCACCCGCCCAGAGCCTCTTTCTAGAGGCCATTGTATTTATTTCCACAATGGGCCTTTTTCCTAGTCTTCCATAAATCGGTTCATAGGAACAGAAGAAGAGCCCTGCTGGATCAGACCAGAGGCTTACTGGGTCAGATCAATGATACATCCAGTCCAGCATACTGTTCTCCATAGTGGCCAACTGTGTTTCCCTGGATGGACTCGGAGCAGGTTGTTGCTCCATAAATTATATCCTAAACATGGAGGTTCCATTTAGCAACCGTAGTTAATTGCCACTGATGGACCTATTTGAAGAGAGAGAAAATATTTCTGTTACTGAAAATACTGTTTCTCTTCTTTGACTTGTAGCATCCTCAGTAGGTATTATCTGATTGCTTTTATATACACTTAACATCTTATTTTCACAGAAAGAGTACCGGTACTTTGTTATGTCACTTGAATGCCTCTTGGTGAAACGAGGTTCATATTTAAAGCAAAAATCCATGCTCCAGTTTTCAGTCAGTTTGCCCTCTGTAGCTGATTGGTTCCCAACTTTCATAACCTCAGAGCTGCCGTTAACAAAGACGTATCCCACATAACCACCCACAGCATGTCAGACAGTGATGTGTTAGGATTGTCAGGCCACGCCTGGCAACTAGAAGGAGTAGTGGGGGCAGGGAAGAGGCGGGGACCCACAGTGTCCTGTGAAGTGCTATGTCACTTGCAAGGAAAACACAGAAGTTATATAGGGTAGCTCTAGCAATTGCTGGAAACTCTATGCTAAAACCACAAAGTTTCTGGCAATTCCCAGAGCTACCTTATGTCACTTCCAGGTTTTGCCCAAAATGACATAGTGGTGCAGACTGGATGTGGGCAGGTGTTCGGCCCCCACTGGGGGAAAGGCAAGCCTAGGTTGTGTGGAGCAGGGCCTCTGTAGAGACCTGAGTATGTCGCTACACCTGTGGGGATGGTGTCCCAGTTTCAGGCCACATGTTAACTGTCTCCAGCATTAATTGCTTTCTCATGGCATCCGGCCCCATCACTCCTTGGCAAATAGAAGGGGAAGTCATGGAAGTAGTGACAGACTTCACGTTCCTGGGATCCCAGATCACTGCAGACTGTGACAGCAGCCATGAAATTAAAAGACGCCTGCTCCTTGGGAGGAAAGCGATGGCGAGCCTAAACAGCATGATAAAAAGTAGAGACATCACCCTGCCAACAAAAGTCCGCATAGTCAAAGCAATGGTATTCCCAGTAGTCATGCATGGCTGCGAGAGTTGGACTATAGGGAAGGCCGAGCGCTGAAGAATAGATTCTTTTGAACTATGGTGCTGGAGAAGACTCTTGAGAGTCCCTTGGACTGCAAGAAGATCAAATCAGTCAATCCTAAAAGAAATCAACCCTGACTGTTCCCTGGAAGGCCAGATAATGAAACTGAAGCTCAAATACTTTGGCCACCCAATGAGAAGGGAGCACTCCCTGGAGAAGAAGACCCTGATGCTGGGAAAGACTGAAGGTCAAAGAAGACGGGGATGGCAAAGGATGAGATGGTTAGACAGTGTCATAGATGCAACCAACATGAAATTGAGCCAACTTCAGAGGACGGCGGAAGACAGGAGGGCCTGGCGTGATCTGGTCCATGGGGTCACGAAGAGTCGGACTCGACTGTGCGACTGAACAACAACAAAACCCAGCATTCCTTTATTCAGTGGTGAGACTGCCAACTTCCCAGTTGGGGAAGCAGGGCAAAGAACAAAAAAGACCATGTGGTGATCAAGATATAACTGTTTTCTCATTCAGGTGCCCCCCAAATAAGGAGGCCGTTCTGTGGAGCTAAAGGAAGCTCTGCCGTAGCTGAAGGCCTAAAGGGCAATCGACAGAAAATGGCCTTCTCTCAACACCGAAAACAAATTGACTACTGTCAGGGTTTTCCTGTAGAGGAAGTGAATAATTGCATTCAGGAAGGCAATAGGAGGAGAAGCAAAAGAGCTGCCTAAAGAAACATTCGCACTTGGCCATTTGAACCAACAAAGTTGGAAGGAGGAAACGTATCATTTGTAGAAGGAAAAGCCATGCGCGAGATAATGGGTAGGCTCTGTGAAGAACAGTGAGCTCTGTTCGTGCAAAAAGTGTACTTTTTAAGGCAGAACATGGCTGGGAATGTGCCTGAGAACTTATGTGGGCCAAGCAGGATGCGATCTTCTTTCTTTAAGCCTTTACAAATAGGAGTCATTTGCAAAGTATGGCTTCAGGGGAGTGATTTATGTTGGGAAAGGTCACAAGAGGAAGGGTTGAAATCTCCCTCACAGATGAAACTACTTTTTACTGAGTCAGACTATTGCTCTGTCCAGCTCGGTATTGGCTGTTGAGCTGCCTGTGACTTTCCAACAGCCTTTCCCAGCCCCTGCTGTAAAGTTGCCAACTTTGGGTTGAGAAATTCCTGGAGATCTGGGGGTGGAGCCTGGGCAGAGAGGGGTTTGGGGGCTTCAGTGGGGTATAATGCCTTAGAGTCCACCCTTCGCAGCAGCTATTTTCTCCAAAGGAACTGATTTCTGTCATCTAGAGATAAGCCATAATTCTGGGGGACCTCCTCCAGGTCCCACCTGGAGATTGGCAGCCCTGACCTGCTAACCAATACACCTTTTACTCCAGATGCCAGGCACTGAGCCTGAATGTTGCATGTGGTTTTCCTAGAGTTGCTTCCTGAGGGTGGGTCCGTCTGGAGGACAATGGCGCGGAGCACCTAATGGCCTAGGAAACAGGCCATGCATGTGTTTTTATTTTATTTATATACTTCCATTATACCCCTCGTTTCTTCCCAATGGGGACTCAGACTGGCTTACATCATTCTCCTCTCCTCCATTCTCTCCTCACCACAGCCCTGTGAGGTAGGCAAGGCTGAAAGAGTGGGGATTTGAACGCAAGTCTCCCCAGATCCGGGTCAGTTTTATGCCTTTT